TTTATAACTTCATGCTGAATGCCTTTTATACATTTACTGTTTCCAACCCTAGTGTTGCACCTGCTTGTTTCCCACTCACACCCATACCTCTATCTTCCATCAGTTTAAAATCATAGGCATTTCACCAATGCCTTCTCATCGAGTCTGCAAGTGCTACCACCCCTGCCCCAGAGAGATGTACCCCATCCCTTGCATACATATCATGTTTGCCATAAAAGTTGTTCCAGTTGTCAATGAATGGGATTGCAAGTTCCTTGCAGTATCTGTCTAGCCAGCAATTTTACACCAATTGCCCTAGACAACCATTCATTTCCTACTCCCCTTCTAGGCAAGATGCTACATATGATTGGGATCCCTCCCTTAGACTTAATGAAATCTATAGCTGACCTGTACTTATCTAGCAGCTCTTCTCTCCTACCCTTCCCAATATCATTTCCACCAGCACTGAGACAGATAATGGGCTTGTTCCCATTACCTGACATGATATTATCCAGCCTGTTGACAATGTCCCCAACACCAGCTCCAGGGAAGCACACTCTATCTCTCATCTTCTTATTCCTATTACAAAAAGCACGGTCAACATATCTTACCTGAGAGTCACCAACCACAAGAATGCGCTTACCTTCATTAGCAGGGGCAGTAGTACCCTTACCTTCACTGGCCACTGAAGTACATTCATCCTGGAGAACAGAGAAGCGATTTCCTACCTTCAGATCTTCACTCTTAACTTTCCTTACTCTGATGCGCCTCCCATTACTGTGAACAACCGCCCTTGTAGCAGGTGCTGGGCTGCACCTCACTGCTGGTAGCCGTTGCTACCTCCCCACCTACAGCCTCCTCACAGTGAGAGACAGACTGCACCTCACTGCTAGAAGCCTCATTCCCCACATCCCCAACCACCTCACACTCTCTCCCAGGCCCATTGAGGTGGACCTTCAGCCTCCTAATCTCTTCCTGGAGAAGCAAGACCTCCTCCTTCAACTCTCCAACCTCAGTTTTTAAAACACTGCAGAAGCAAGCCATGCTTTGTAACCGTCCACGCTAATCCCCAAAGCAGCTCAGGGTCTGTGACCTCACGTGACGACTGACACTGTGCCGACGCTGTTGGTGCTCCTGCAAGCTGACACTACTGGCACTGACATTCTCTCTAATGGTGATAATACATGTTAAAACATCAACCTGCTGGAAGTCATCCACGGCAACACTCACACTACTGTCTGGTTGTTTCGATCATTCCTTCGTCATGGTAGGTAAGACACAGGCAACAGTTAGGCAACTTTATTCCGAAACGTTTCGCCTACACAGTAGGCTTCTTCAGTCGAGTACAGAAAGTAGGCAGGAGCAGTAGAGATGTGAAGACGATGTAATCAGTCCATCACCCTTTAAGTCGTAGATCTGAGGTTGTCAATCTGATTACATCGTCATCACATCTCTATTGTTCTTGCCTACTTTCTGTACTCGACTGAAGAAGCCTACTGTGTAGGCGAAGCGTTTCGGAATAAAGTTGCCTAACTGTTACCTGTGTCTTACCTACCAACCAATCGGTATTGTATACCATTTTGATATTCATTCCTTAGTCATGAAATAAGTCCTCCTGACGCAGAAGTCGACTCAGTTCTTATGTTCCCGTGCTGGGCATCCACTCGACGCGGGTTTTATCTACATTGTAACCAGTTGAACCGGCAAGTTGACAAATTAGACACGTGTGCAACAATCGGGTATCTTTATTACGAAAGCGTTTCGCCACACAGTGGCTTCATCAGTCTAATACAAAGAAGAATGATCTGATTTATCAACCAATTGAGTGGCTGGAAATAAGAACTCGTAAGAAGAGAGGGAGTAATGCAGTAGATCTACTGGCCCACACTAGGCAGGTCCTACTCCAACCCTCCAACTAATATATTAATTGTATACATAACCGATAAGTAGATGGATTAATCCAGTACAAAAAAAAATAAATGGTAGATGTGAAGACGTAATTTTAGATGATCAGTTCCAGTCTTGATATGAGACATCAGTCCCTCAGTCTTGATATGAGGTGTTCAGTCCCTCAGTTTTGATAGGTGTTCAGTCCTTCAATCTTGATACGAGACAGATTCTGGAACAAATCACAAATAACCCACAATTTACCTCAGACGATTTATTAACGGCCCAGGACGGACCAGAACGTCGTCTAGGGTTTTCTCCATTTCTAACAAGGTATATAACAACGACACATGTATAAAAGAGAGACTTTTGCAAAGTTAGGAAACCTTATTATGAAAACGTTTTGCCCACCGTACGCCTCACCAGTCCATTGAAATTTCCTCACTCTCTATTATGAGTCATTTGACAGATGTGTTTTGCAGATAATGCAGTAATTGTGGATCTCCTCGGAGAGTTGATTACCTTGAGGGATGGTCAGCCGGTGTGTGTAATTTGCATGTTTGTGGGATAACTGTTGCCTCTCCACTCCCTCTTAAGGTGAAGCGAATTTAAGACAACTGATGTTTACTGAAGGTTGGTTGGTTGACTGGTTAATTGAGTTCGAAGCCTATCGACACACGAGCTTCATTTAAGTTATATGTCACTGTTCGCCCCATATCGATGATGCCCTAATCCTAAATATGGGCTATTAAGGTGGAGAAATAAGTGAGTGTCCGTGAAGATGGAATCTATGTTATTCACAATGAATGTAAAAATTATCTTCTGTTGACTATTGTAAAGTAGTATTTTCTGGTTATTTCTTTAATCTTTATTTTTATTACTGCTTTCCTAGTGAATAATAATTACGATAATTTTTCTGTTATATGCTTTGTATTTCTTCTGAACTGTATCCACTGTTAGCTAGGCTTCCCGGCATGTTTCGGAAATAGCTTGTTAAACTAACATTTACATTTATACACTATTATGGTACACGTCGAGTACAATATTATAATCGATATGCATCACATATAACCCCAGTCTTGCATGCCATCAATAACCAGCCTTAAAGCCTGGTAGCTTGTATCCTGTCGGAAGGAGTGCACCATTCGCATACGGGATGACAGTTAGTTTGTACTGGAGGTCTACAAGTCAGGGTGAGGAAAGGAACCCCAGGGTAGGCTACCATGCATGTAGGGACATCCCTGAAGTTTGATAACCTCACAAACTTCAAAATAGTTTACACTCGAGTCAGTTCTTTATATGTGAGTGTCTGAAGCCGTAAATAGAGTAAATAATGGCAAATACATTTTGTGATGGGAATGTATGGTAAATCCAAAAGCTAACACGTGGTATACACTTTATTTTCTATTCACTTAATTATTCTTTTCAATGCGCTTAGGCTGGTATCTTGCGCCACCGGGTACAAGCCTCTGAAAATACTTGTGATTGTGATAATTATCCTATATATTATATATATTCAGTCAAATTTACAACTATTTACATTAGCAATCATCTGTCTAAATATATAAACCTATTTGTCTATCTGGAGTTTTGATGTTTGGATTTTGTAATCTCACTGAAAATATAAAGTGTACTGCTTGATATTCTCGTGGCACGCATTGACACGGCCGTGACAATGCGTCACAATCACTTTATGAAACGATTTTAACAATCTTTTATTACGATTTTTTTTATATGATTGGGAGCTTGATTCTTTGTTTATTATTCATTCAGTGTTCTCGCAGACTCCACTTGACTGGCTTAATGACACTAATAGCGGTGAATACTGACCGAAACAAGAACTAGGAGCAAGACAGACTCGTCTTGTGGAGAAACTCTGACCAACAGCAAAGTTCACAATACAGGAACAAGGTGGAGAGTCATGGTACGTTGAACATGTATGTCGCCTGCTAAGTTTACACTCTCAACTCTATGCTCACTCGCTTACTCACTCGTTCACTATCTCATTCACTCCCTTTAATGTACTCGCTGACTATCAATCACTCACTCGCTCATTGTTACCAAATTTGCTCAGTCACCTTTCGTGGCTCTACCTGAAGCCCAAGTTCCCTTTTTCACTGACTGGTTTACCATACTGTTGCTGCTTGCGGCCCGCAGACAACACTGCCATCACATCCTTAATTATTCATCACGTCTGCCTTTGGTCCGGAAATATTTCTGATATTTGCTGATTGTAGAGTCTTGGGCCTGAAGGATACTTGCTCTCTAATTACGTATATGGTGCCCCTATTTCTCAGAGAGTTTATTCTGCACTTCCTTATTTGTCACAGTAGTTGGGGTCCCACAACTGTGCTATCAATGGCTGCCAGCTTTAAACATCAACTTATCTGGGAGCGGGATTGACCTCAAGACGACCTGACATTATATTTACCTTCTGGTCTGGAGAACAGTCTCTCACTATTTCTGGCTGATTACATACTTTTCTCTCTTGTATGAATCTACGAGTCAATGCTCTCAGTGTTCTCTCTCTTATTATGTCAGTTACAAGTATAGTATCTGCCTACAATGCTCTTCTGCTACACACATTGTAAATACAATAAATATTAGTGGTAGGAATAAACGAGTACTCAGAAATCTACTTTTGTTAACTGCCTTCGCTTCTGTTATTCAGTGACTTCCTTTCTTGGTGATCCACTTCACATCCAGGTACCACCGACCTTCTGTTTGTACCTGTGTTCGTAATATTTTCAAGTTTATTTTGCTATCGTCCCTAAAATACGATACGACGATGTGGCTGTATTTATCTGTCTGTCATGAGGATATGAAACAGAAGAGGTGCTAGGAGAGTGCCTTGGAGAACTGTTCTGGATAATCTTATCTAGAGTGGACAGGTGTTCTTGTATAAATCTTGTCTACAGTACTTCCCAAATAGCTTTGCACATATTATTTTTATTCGCAGCAAATTACTTTAGAAAATATTTAAATTATTTTTTGTTTTCTAAATATCTTGTAAATTCACATACCATCGTTGGATTTACAATCAACACTCTGAAAATAATTAATAAAAAAATAGATCGTTCAAAATAGGCCCTGTCAGAATACAAAATTATTTGTAGCTCACAGAGGGAACCTACTTGGTAGTGATAGATGGGGAGTGGACATCAGGGTGAGCGTCGGGGTGGGCATCATGGTGGGAGTGGGTGGCGAGGGAGGTAAGGGCGTGTTCCCCAGCTCGCACCTGTTGAAGGCTGCTGGCCACCAAACTCCTGGCCGAGGTGACTGTCTGAATGACGCTGTCTCTGGAAGGTAAGACGAGAGTCGGTGAGTTGCATGATAGTGTGTACTCGCCTAGTTATATACTTTGCTTGCGTCATTGGTTCCGGGACTCGTGGAACCTATCATACTTACTCTTGAAACTGTGTATCGTTGAGTTTTCTTCTCCGCTTTGTCAAATCTTCTGAGTATCTTTTGAGCAGTGATCATGTCTTACCCGTGCCTTCTCTAATCATTTCCTTTACTTCTCAGAATCAAAACCCCTCAACTTCGGAGCTTGTTTAGTAGCAACTCCTCAGACTTTCTTAACTTCTAAACATATATCAGTTGTGGGTTCCCTGTTGGTGTTGTATAATCTATGATTGATTTGACGTATATCGTGTACAGTGTCCTACAAGACCATGTACACGATATGAAGGCAGCATGTAGACTTGCTAACCTGGCATATGTACAAGACTGGTATACAGTACCGACAAGATGAAAGTAGAAGACAGTAGAACTTTGTACAGAAGATGAGGTAATCAGTCCCTCCAAGGTTGAGGGACTGATTACCTCATCTTCTGTACATAGTTCTACTGTCTTCTAGTTATGTCCTGGAATTTGTATTGATAAAGCCACTGGATGGCGAAACGTCTACAATAAAGATACCCAGATGCTGCACATGTGTCTTAATTTCAACCTGGCATGTGTGAAAAAAAAGGACACGTACTATTCGGGACGTAAAAAGGAAACATTTCGCCACGAGTGACTTCTTTCTTTAATGAGTGTCCTGAACTGTACGTAAGTGTCTTTGTCTACGTCTTGTCGGTATCACCATACTATATACATTCACATGATGTCATGGTTATAGGACTTTTGCCCAGCTCATGTGATTTATTTACTGTGATGTTCGCTGATCTGCATTATCAAAATATCTCAAACAGTACTAAAAAGTAAGAATGCTAAATCAGTGGAATCACCATACATGTACAACTGAAGAATTTATCGATGTAAAACAACTGCCAGACCACCTCTATAGGATTTTACATACATCGAGATAGACAAAATGTCTATGTAATATAGTGTTAATAGTACAGAATGAAATATCACTGAAACTGCCACAGTACGATGTAGCCTGTTCACTGTTTCACTATTGAAATGAACCTAAACTGAAGGAAGGTGCAAGCCGTAGCTTCCTCATTTATCAATCTCATCAATTTTCATCATCGACAGATACACATAAGAATCGTGAAACGATATTAGAAACAGTAGCGGTACCAATCCTTGAGTGACCCCGCTCTTAAGGCACACCCGTTTCTGGCACTTCCTCTTAACAATGTTACTCTTTGTCTCTTGCCCTTCAGATACTCCCTGATCCATTTTACCACTTTCTCTTTCAGTTGTGTGCTTAGTTATTTTCTAGTCTGGACTAGACTCTAATGAAGGGGAATACTGAAACGAAAATTTTCTTGTAACCAAGAAAATTAATTTGATCCAGGCATCGTTTCTAATACCATTATTACAGTTCTGTTGTATATCTACAGAAGGTTCGTGAGAGGAGGATTTCCCGACCCTGAATCCTTGCTGGTTTTTCCTAACAAATCCTTCTCTCTCTTAGTGGTGACACGAGTGCAATAATTAAAGTTGAATTTGCATATGAGAGAGAAGAGTATGTGTGTGTGTGGGATGGGAGAAGGGGTTGTGAATAACTGGATGGTCAGGCATAATTGTATGAAGAATTAGACACGCGTTCAACATCTGGGTACCTTTATTTGTAGACATTTCTCCATCAAGTGGCTTTATCACTACAAATTCAAGGACATAATGGGAAGACTGTAGAACTATATACAAAAGTCGAAGTAATCTTGAAGACTACGGTGCTCTTCACCAACTCCAAGGCTGAGGGACTGATTACCTCGTCTTTTGTATAAATTTCTACAGTCTTCCCATTATGTCCTTAAATTTGTATTGAAAAAACCACTGAATGGAGAAAAGTCTACAAATGGATACCCAGATGTTGCACATGTCTAATTCTTCATCTTATCGGCATTGTATATAACTCATGTGCATGATTATACGAGTAATTGTGAGTATAATTTTTGATGTGTATGATCGCGAATGTGTACATGCGTTTGTATTCGCCTAAGAGTGTCTGTGGGAGGCTGAACTCTTGCTCTTGGGCTCCGCCTTATTTTTTTTCAGTCCTCTTGTTTGAACCGACCACCAGTGCATCCCTTTATTATATACTCCAGTAATTCACTACCTTCACACTGAAGGAATTCGTTCTTATAATCCCTTTGGCTCAGGCGAACTGCATACAAAGCAGTTCAAGCTTCTCTTTCCACACAACTATCATCCTTGTAAACACTTCAGGAGAACAGAGAACACTGCGACCTTTCTAGCATAACAATACGTGGATGTTCAAGGGGTGGACCAGTAAGCCGGGGGAAGGCCTCGGTCAGATGATCAAAAGCTCCAGCTGTGGGGTCATCATATGATAAGACCCGACTCAGGAAATACTTGTCCTGCTTCCTGACGAACCTTACCTAACGTAACCTGGTTGTTAATGTTGTGGTGATATCGACAAACTGTGAAAAAAGGATACTTGTGTACAGTTCGTGACATTAAAGGAAACGTTTCGCCCATGAATGACGAAACCTTTCCACAGTTGGTTGGTTGGTTGGTTGGGTGATCAATTGGGCTTAAAGTTTATCGACTACACGAGGCTGATCAAGGCTGCATCTCACCTCTTCACCACCTGCCAAGAATACTTTAATCCGTAAATTAGAGATTAAGAAAACTCTCAGTGAATTTACAATGAGAGATATGTACCTCTCAGGATATATATCCTGTCCCTATTTTAAAATTAAAGTATAGTTGACTGGTGGTGTACAAGCGATATACAAACTTAAAGACACTCGTGCAGTTGACAGGTCTTAAACCTAATAAACTAAGTCCAGGATAACAACGTCAACTCGCGCACGGGACTCACTGCTTACCACGTTCTTCTGGCAAGCACGTGAAAGTCAAGGTCAGTGAGCACGTACTGTCCGTGTAGTTGCCATCAGTTAGACACTTCAGTGTGCGTTGTCATCACAAGCAGACAAGGTGGAACCTTGAGGTTAGGTGGGGGAGGCAGCTGGTTGTGGGGGGGTAGGTGAAGGTGTGAGCATTCTTGGGTGAGTGCAAGGATCCAGCCAGGATATTATTATTATTATTATTATTATTATTATTATTATTATTATTATTATTATTATATTATTATTATTATTATTATTATTATTAATCACCATTATGGGTAAACCAATAATAATGAATAGGAGGAAATTACGTTTGATATAACGAGGGTAGGGTAGCACTAATTCCTTGGCTCAAGAGCTCTTTGCCAGCATCATGGCACCCCCTTTCCTTCCCCATAAAGGGACAGTATATATATATATATATATATATATATATATATATATATATATATATATATATATATATATATATATATATATATATATATATATATATATTTTATTTTTATTTTATTATCACACCGGCCGATTCCCACCAAGGCAGGGTGGCCCGAAAAAGAAAAACTTTCACCATCATTCACTCCATCACTGTCTTGCCAGAAGGGTGCTTTACACTACAGTTTTTAAACTGCAACATTAACACCCCTCCTTCAGAGTGCAGGCACTGTACTTCCCATCTCCAGGACTCAAGTCCGGCCTGCCGGTTTCCCTGAATCCCTTCATAAATGTTACTTTGCTCACACTCCAACAGCACGTCAAGTATTAAAAACCATTTGTCTCCATTCACTCCTATCAAACACGCTCACGCATGCCTGCTGGAAGTCCAAGCCCCTCGCACACAAAACCTCCTTTACCCCCTCCCTCCAACCCTTCCTAGGCCGACCCCTACCCCGCCTTCCTTCCACTACAGACTGATACACTCTTGAAGTCATTCTGTTTCGCTCCATTCTCTCTACATGTCCGAACCACCTCAACAACCCTTCCTCAGCCCTCTGGACAACAGTTTTGGTAATCCCGCACCTCCTCCTAACTTCCAAACTACGAATTCTCTGCATTATATTCACACCACACATTGCCCTCAGACATGACATCTCCACTGCCTCCAGCCTTCTCCTCGCTGCAACATTCATCACCCACGCTTCACACCCATATAAGAGCGTTGGTAAAACTATACTCTCATACATTCCCCTCTTTGCCTCCAAGGACAAAGTTCTTTGTCTCCACAGACTCCTAAGTGCACCACTCACTCTTTTTCCCTCATCAATTCTATGATTCACCTCATCTTTCATAGACCCATCCGCTGACACGTCCACTCCCAAATATCTGAATACGTTCACCTCCTCCATACTCTCTCCCTCCAATCTGATATTCAATCTTTCATCACCTAATCTTTTTGTTATCCTCATAACCTTACTCTTTCCTGTATTCACCTTTAATTTTCTTCTTTTGCACACCCTACCAAATCATCCACCAATCTCTGCAACTTCTCTTCAGAATCTCCCAAGAGCACAGTGTCATCAGCAAAGAGCAGCTGTGACAACTCCCACTTTGTGTGTGATTCTTTATCTTTTAACTCCACGCCTCTTGCCAAGACCCCCGCATTTACTTCTCTTACAACCCCATCTATAAATATATTAAACAACCACGGTGACATCACACATCCTTGTCTAAGGCCTACTTTTACTGGGAAAAAATTTCCCTCTTTCCTACATACTCTAACTTGAGCCTCACTATCCTCGTAAAAACTCTTTACTGCTTTCAGTAACCTACCTCCTACACCATACACTTGCAACATCTGCCACATTGCCCCCCTATCCACCCTGTCATACGCCTTTTCCAAATCCATAAATGCCACAAAGACCTCTTTAGCCTTATCTAAATACTGTTCACTTATATGTTTCACTGTAAACACCTGGTCCACACACCCCCTACCTTTCCTAAAGCCTCCTTGTTCATCTGCTATCCTATTCTCCGTCTTACTCTTAATTCTTTCAATTATAACTCTACCATACACTTTACCAGGTACA